CCAAAGCCCCGTGCTGGAGACTTGTGATCTTGGTCGCACAGCCACCGCCTCTGCTGTCCCCCAGTGAGCCAGTGGGCAGGATGGTGACCTGGGAAGGGAGCCCAGAGGGGAGTGGGGGTGACCCACTGCCCTCAGCCTAAACAGGAGCCCACATTCCCCATAAGCAGGATCCCCTGCTATTCCTGCTCCCAGCCCCGCCGGGAGCTCAGCTGGACCCCAGGCAGCTTTTGGCTGTGCCCAGGGCCCATCGCATTGCACTGGGGGTGGGGAGCTGGCCGCCCTGACGATGCCTGTACCCCCACTCATGGTCCTGTGCCCACTCCTCCTTGGCTGCACAGGGAGCTGTTGGCAGTCAGCAGGGTTTAGCCATGCTATGTAGCTGGAATTTTGGCAGCAAAAGTGCAGGCAGAGCAGGGAGGTAGCAGAGCAGGGCTGGGGCTGAGGAGACACTTGCTGGCTGCCACCTCGCGCAGCTGGGCTGTCCTGTGGCTCTGGTGCATCTTGCCAGCCGTGCCCTGGCAGCACCCGGCTGAGCGGAGAAGAGCCAGAAGAGCAGCAAGGTGCCACAGCTGCAGCACTGGTGCTGGCTGTCCCAGTGCTCCTGCAGCCATGCAGTGCCATAACCCACTCTGTCCCCACAGCCGTCCCTGCGCAGCTGCGCAGGCCCATTTCTGGACAGGCAGTTCCCTCTAGAGGATGCATTTCTCAGGGCGAGCAGGTCCTGCTACAGGATGACGATGATACACAGGAGCTCCGCACCCTCTCCATCCCTCCCGTCCAACACCGCAGGGTCTGGCGAAGGCCAGCGCCAGCCAACACTCCTGACATTGTCAAGGGGACACCAAGGTGCCCAGGCACAGCCCAGCTGACGAGCAGCCATTTCTCTGCTGACCACACGTTGCATGCTGCACAGAGGACATCTCATGCAGTGTACAGCACAGGGCTGCGAATTACACCTCTCTGGCTGCTGCCAGCTTCTGCTTTCCCAGACCGCTGTGCAAACGCCATCCTGGACCCTTCTCCGTTGTCACAGCTGGCTCCTGCACACCCGCCTGCACCCCAGCATCCCCTTCAATCCTGCCACGGGGCCTTCCTGACCAGCAAGCTGCCCGCTCAGTCCCAGTGTGGCCCATTAGCAAAACGCAGGCAGGGGTGGTGGTGGGGATAACTCCGGGGGCTGCTGTGCCCAGGAGGGGACAGCAGGGTTTGGCCACTGCCCCAGTGCACGGTCAGCCCCGCAGCACTCCCCTGCCCGCACAGAGGGCTTGGGGCAGGTGCCCGGCACAGAGACTGGGTGCTGTGCCTTGCAGCATCAGGAGTGAGGTGGCAGCGGAAAAGAATGACCTAACAGCAGCTAAATTTAGACAGATGCCGGTGGAGTGAGAACATTTCCCCTGTGGTCACAGTGTTTACATAGTGAGCAAGGTCCCAGGTCATCCTGCAACCCACAGCACTTGCTCTACCTGATGGAATCCAGCAATCAACCCGGGGAGCTGCAGAGCATCTCGCTGCCAGCTTCCAAGTTGTGCTTGGAAGATGAGCAGGACCAGCCTGCCCTTCCCTTCTGCTGCGCCCCCACGGCAGGGCTCAGGAGGCCAGGATACATGGGCAGCCAATGTGCCCTGCTTCTGCTGGGCCAGGGCTGAGCTGGGAGCCCCGGGACCCCAGGCGCCGGCATGGACCAATGCGGGTGAGGTCAGGGAGTCTGCTGAAGGAGTGACTCACGCAGCAGGAGCTGCGGGACAGGAGGAGCATGGTGCAATAGCCTCCCTGAATCAGCTGGCTGCCGAAACTGCCCTCTCACCGTGCCTACCTCTGGTGGGAGGGCGACAGCTTCATGCCTGGCCCCTGCCCTGTGCCGTGCGTGGGAGGCGCTCCCTGCCCTGACACCCTCGGGAGCAGATGTCCTCGCATCCCAGTGAGATGCCGCGGAGCAGCACTGCTTGAGGTAGAGCCACACCAGCAGCTGAGCCCCAAGCCCCAGCTCCACAGACAGCAGAGGGGAGGGGAAGGTTAGCAAGCCACTGCCCATGCCATAAACCATCCCCACCTCTGCCCCACAGGGGAAGAAAAAGGCCACCTGCTCACCTGCCTGGGAGTCCATCGCCCAGCGCCGTGCTGCAGGAGCTGCTCACGGCTAGCCCCAGCTGGGAGCTGCTGCAGCAGTGGTGAGTGCTGCACCTGGCACGTCCTGCCCGTCCCCTCCTCTCCCGGTGACACAGCCGCCTCACCGCCTGTCCTGCAGCAAGGCCGGGCACCGCTCCTTGCCCGCCGGTTCAACTGGTTCCCAGGGGAGAAAGCAGAGGAGCTCCAGCAGACGTAACTGCTCATGCGATGGACGGCACATCGCCTGAGCCCCAGCCCACAATGGCTGCTCCCAGCCCAGCCCCGCCCAGCCTCCCCACCCGCTTGGGGAAGGCATGATGCCCGACCACAAGGGCAGCTCTGCCCTCCCGCTGCTGGCAGGGACAGGCAGCTAGGCAGAGGTTGAACTGGTAGCGCTGGAAGCCCAAGGGGCAGGGATGCCCTGGACACAGGGGTGTCCAGCCCTGGCAAGGTGCCCAAGTGGCTATGTCCTTCTCCTGGCAAAGAGCAGCAGCTGGAGGGGGGCAGGAAGGGTCCCACACAGAGCCCGGGCTTGGGCGTTTGGGGACACCTGCAAAGGTTAGGGCTCTGTGCAGGGCAAGGGCACCCACGGGGAGGGCAGGACCCCAGGGTGACAGGACGTCCCCCACCAGCTGCCCCCAGTCACAGACACCTCCTGGTATGGCACACTCACAGCTGTATTCGATCATCTTCTCAAAGCCCTGAGCCCCAGGGTTTGGTGGCAATCACTGCCTGCTTGCGGAAAGAGGGGGAAACCATCTCCCGTGGCTGCAGGTAGAAGGTAACAAACAGGGATAACAATTAACAGCTTGGAAACTTGGGCAGCCAGGGCAAAATCCCTCCCCCCTTTGCGTGTGCTTTGCCAGGCGCAGCCTCTGACTATGCCATGCCCCAGTGCAAGTAGCGCAGGGCGGCCAGGGCAGGAGCCAAGCCTCTGAGCAGCCCTCCCTGGGAGCGAGGACCAAGACCCAGGGGTGATGCCTTGGACCCGTGGGGATGCTTGCGTGGATGCAGGGGGGATGATGTGCACCACAGACCCCGAGGCCCTGGCAGCGTCCGGCTCAGACAGAAGGCCCGGGACTGCTCCTCGCCAGGCAGCGGAGAGGAAAGGGTCAGGGTGCGTGTCCACGTGGCTCGGAGAGGCTGGCAGCTGTGCAGAGCCCTGGGCCAGCCCTGCCTGGCCTCTGCCTGACCCCAGATGGAGCCGGGGTGCCCGGAAGCTTGCGTCATGCCAGGGCTCCATGCGCAAGAGGCCACGGAAAGGTGATGGGCTGGAAATGCAGCCGCACTCCAGGAAGCAAAGCCCCGAAGGCACGTGGAACTGTGACATAACATCTGCAAACCTCAGCTGCTTCCTCAAAACCCTCGCTCAAGCTCAAAGGAGGAAGAGCTGCTCCCCACCTTGCCACCTCTCACCCCACAGATGCTCCCGGGCTGCTCTCCCTTCCACGGCAGCAGGTCCAGGCCGTGGGGTGTGTGGGGCTTGCACTGGGATGCTCTAGGAAGGCTGCCCACACCTCGAGGAGGTCTCTGTGGCACAGCACAGGGCTGCAGCTGCGCCGGTGGTGCTGGATGCATGGGACCGCTCCAGAGCCTCTCCCTAGTAGCACCCATCTCTTGAGCTGCTTCTGCTTTTAAGCCACAGTTTGTTCCCTGACAAGGGACAGGCATGCCCAGACTGGATAGGAGAGCTTGCTCCACCGTGCTGCAGTTCACGCTGCATCAGATGCCCACGCAGCCATTTGCCTGTGCTGCCCCAGCCAGGGCCCACGGTGGCACGTCAGGGACGCAAGCCCTCTGCCCAGCTCCCCGCTGTCGCGTGCAGCCCCTTAAACCAGTTTGCAAGCTGGAAGTTCCCACAGCAGCGCAGGGCACCCTCCTGCACAAAGCGTGCGGCTGCACCCACCGGCTGCCGCTCTCCACCCTCCATCCCACGGTCTCTGGGCATTGCATGGACCATGCGGGCAGGAGCCGAGACCCCTCACACCTCCCGAGGGGACTGGATCCTCACCAGTGAGTGTGGAGAATGCCCTTACCTGCAGAGCCACATGCAGATGCCAGGATCCCTGGTCAGGCCCTCCCCAGTGCAGGCAGGGTCCCTGCTGCAGCAGGGGCGAGCTGGCACAGTGATGGCATGGCTCCCCGGCCGAGGAGCTGCAGATCCGGGATACTCTGCTGTCTCCCCACTGGCAGGGTGCACACACCTGGCAGCAGCAGCTCTCCCTGACCATTGGGAAAGCTTGATTACAAAAGGAGGAGAGGGTAATTAGCTGCTTGGCAAATCCTGCGCACCCACCACTTCCAGCATGAGTCTGCACAAGGCCAAGCTTTCCAGCCAGCTGCCAGTGGGGCCGACCGCAGCCCGCAGACTCCCTGACCCCAGCCGGCTCCCTGCACCAGCCTTCGCCCAGCTGCAGCAAGCGGCTCCCACACGCCAAAACCTAAATGTCCATCCTGCCTGGCAGTGCTGCCAGCAGCAGGCTAAAGCAAGCAGCTCTGCGTCCCAGAGTGGTTATTCCTGGTAACCAGAGGTAACCTGCCATGGGCATCCGCTCGCTTTCCTTTTAACTTCGCTCTGGCCCTGCCAGGCGCACCTGCCAGCCATGACCTGGGACTGTGCAGGGACACACAGACCAAGTGACCCAAGAGGCAGGAGCATATAATGGCCTGGTATCCTCATGCATAAACTCTTCTCCTTTCCTCCTCCACCTACTAAAACCTCTGTTTAAAAACAACTCAGTGCAACGCGGAAGAGACGGACAAAGAGCGGGATGGCTGTGGCTCCTCTTATCATCAGGAGAGGAGCAGGAAAAATCCTGCTCTATCAGTCAGTTGGCTCTTGATAAGCTATTTTGTGACAGCAGCTCTGCAGGTGAGTCACCCTCCAGTGGCAGATGCTCAGGAGATTATTGCAGGTGATGGTGCTGCTGATAAACCGGTGTTATATTACAATACAAATCACAATTCCTGTTTCACAACTCCTGTTGTGGGTTTTAAGGAGTGCTTGGGCGGTCCTGCCCCAGTGTTAGTACAGCGCAGGCAGAGCAGCTCAGGCACAGGGGTGGCGGGAGCATCGCCGGCCCGGGCTCCTGGGGCATCGGGGCACCCACAGCCTCCCTGCGTCCCAGACTGGAGGATCTTTGCTGGGTTTCTGCAGGCGGAAGACCACGTCAGAGCTGGATGAACATGGTGAGTTACCGACAGCTTTGCCCACCGCTTTGCCCGCTCCCTGCATGTCAGCCTCCAGCCCCTCGCCCCAGGAGCGAGCAGTCGGCACCCCGCACACCCCGCGGCTGGCTGCACTCGCAGCCCAGGTCTGCCAGGAGTGGTTTACCGGTGACGAGGCAGCCCAGGCTCAAAAGAGCTGCTGCTCCCTGACCCTAGTCCCCCACGGCATCCAGGCAGGGAATGATTTTACCCATCTCTCTCAGTACCCTGCCGTGGCTGTTGGATACGGCGCTTGGCTATCCCCACAAGGTCTCACTCCCACATTTCTCTGTGGCTTGCCTTGGCCGTCTCCCAGACTGGGAAGCAGACAGGCAGGCAGGGCATCTCACAAGTCTGCTCACCAAGGACACGTGCCCTTCTGGAGCATCTTGTCCCGTCCCTGTCCCCCGGAGAAGGAGCTGGTTCTTAGGCAATGCCTGGGCAAGAGCCCGGCACCCCTGCCTCTCTACACAGCTCACACCATGGGACTGCCCAGTCCCTCTGCTCAGCACAAGGGGCGTGCTCAGCTCAGCTTCCTTCATTCAGTGCCTTTTGCAAGCAAAGCCATGGCCACCAAACCCCAGCCTGGCATGCAGTCCCTCCCTAGGAGGAAAAGGCTTCTGTAAAAGAGGGCAGCCATGTATTGCCCAGTTCGCTATAAAACCATCCACCAGCGATACACTGGGACAACCCTCTGGGGTGGGGAACTCACCCACCTGCTACACACACCCATGGGTTAAACCCCCTGCACCCAAGGAGTTAGCCCCAGATCTGAGCACCCTTTGAAGGTGGGGTCTGCACAGGAACATCCTACCTTACCTCATTCAGGAGCAGCCAGCACAGCTACTTGGTGCACAACAGAGCCTTTCAGCCACACACTGCGGAGGGCAAATGGCAAGAGTCCGCCTGCACCCCAGCCGCCTGAGCCTGCTCAGATGGTGCGGGTGCAGAAGTTCATCAGGAGTCCACAGTTCGTGGGCTGACATTTGCACAGCTGGAGTGCAGACTGGCCAGAGCGGCATTAGTGTGCTTCCAGAGAATACGGCAAGGGAGTTCAATTAGTTACGGTAGCCTTGAGTTATCTAGGAAATCATGTGCTTCCACTCCACAAAGGAGCTGGCACAGCTCTTGCCTTGCTTTGAGCTTAACCAGTGCGGCTCTTGCTCGTAGTGTGGTTTTGAAAGCAAGTGGGCAGTCATGGAGAGGCAGCCCCTGGGGCAGCTCCAAGCTGTGAATCTGTTTGAAACAGAGGAAGTTTGTGGACTGAAGAATATGAAAAAAAAAACCAAACCCCAACAATGGGCAATACCTTCTCTGTGTGGGAAAGTGGCCAGCACCACAGCATCACCCCTTCCACCTGCGTCTGCACGAGACCTGCCCAGGGTTGTCAGAAAGGAGCCCGACACCAGACGACATGATGGGCACAAGTACGGGCAGCTTGCCGGCAGGCAGAGGCAGCTGCAGTGCCCCCCAGCCGCAGAGCCCCGGCCATGCCACAGAGCCTGGAGGAGCCGACGGGGCCCTGGGACTATTCCTGCAGGGAACCGTTAGGATCCCATTATCTGGGTCATGCCCGGCCCAGGCCCACGGTTACACAAGAGGTCAGCATGAGGAAGGACTGGCCCCACGTGCCCTCAACTGGCGGCGTTTGGGAGTAAGCTGAGCCGGCATTACAAAATTCCCAGGGCTCCTGCAGGCACTGGACACTGCAGATAAGCAGCTCTGAAAGGGCGGCCAAGATGGGAAGTCCAGGAGACATGCTCCTCTTCCCACCCTGCCCTCCTGCTCCCAGCAGGTCCCCGACTCCCTGCCACCAGGAGCCAGGCCCCAGGCCCCCAGGAGCTCAGCTGGGATCCCCTGGTAGCACTGCAGTGCCCTGGTGGGAGCCAAAAAGACCTGAGGGGCTATGCAGAGCCCATCCAGCAGCCAGGCACTCGCCATGACTTGCCCATGCTCAGCATCGGTGCCAGACGAGCTCAGCTGTTCAGAGAAAGGGCCCTGGCATTCCCTCAAAAGAGCCGGACAGCTGCATGCTGGGGCACAGCGGCATGCCCACAGCACTGGGCAGGATCTGGTCCTCCCCTGCACAGGTCACTTCTTGTTCCCCGGCAAGCGAGCAGCCAAAACTGGCAGCCCAAGCCATGCGGCAGGGCCGTGATGGGGAGGCAATGTTTCCTGGCTGGGCGAGGGGCAGTGACAGCTGAGCTAGCAGCACATTAAATCCAAGCTATCTTTGTGTATTAACCCACGAATAATGGCTTGGCACTCGTCTGTAAAATCCTGCTGGTAGAGTCTTTGTGCATGGCTAAACATGCCCAAACACAGTGACCTGGAGAGGGAGAGCTCCGCCACTCCCTCCTACCAGCCTCGGGCTGGAGCACAGCCCCTTTACAGCCTTACCACAACCCCGGTCTCGCTGCACCGCTGTTCTTCAAAGCCCCAAACTCCGAGCTCTGAGGTTGCCCAGGGGCCTCTGCTCTCGTTTGAGACAACAAATGCAATCATCTCCAGCTCTCTGCTGCCCAGGAAAAGCGTGCTGCTCCTGATGCTCAGCAGCCAAATGAGCAAAGGCTTCTAAATCCCAAACTCTCCTGGATCTATGGGTTTATTGCAGTGTTTTTAATCTTCCTTACCTCTGTTCATGCTGGGTACTGGCCCTGCAAAAAAGCTTGTCTTACCTGTCGTGGTAGGGTCCAGAAGCAACAGCAAAGGAAAAGCGCTCGCCTGGGGATGGAAAGGCATTCAAGGGAAAAGCAAGCATGCTGCTTTCCACAGCCTCAGCAGGGCAGGAGCACGCTTTCAAACCGCAAGCTGCCAGGAAGCAGCTCTCAATAGCGTGGCACAAGCAGGGCCGCAGAACAGGGCAAGAGAAACATACGGTCTCCACCTGAACCCCCTGCAAAGGGGCTCTGATCTTTGCCCAGCACCAACCTGCCCACCGAGGACAGGAGTGGCTCCTTCAGCAACGGCTGCCTGGTGCCGCTGACGGGACCCTTCCTACTGCAGTTGGGCACCTCTTGTATGAGAAGCTATTACAGGAAAATAATTTTGAGGAGATCAAGTGGGATCAATGCCTTATTCATCACTCGCTCCATTGCTGACTGCAGCCGGGGCTGTGTTTACGTGTGTCCTAGCAGCAGCACAGCCCTCCCTCCCCGCCCCAAGAGCACCCGTTCCCATGGGCCAGGCTGGTTTCTCCAGCGGCTCTGACAGTTTGTCAGGGAGGACTCAGGCTGTGCTGCTCGGTTTCTGACCCCACACTGGGCCAGCCAAAGAATAACCCCCATCGTGACATGTCCGGGTGGCACAGCCCTGCAGGCACATGTATTTTGACTCAGGGTTTCTTGGCACATCAGAAAGTGCCTCTTTCATAACACCTATGACTTCTTAAGCCTCTAGTGCATTAAAGGCAGTATCTCTGTAACATTAATAGCCAGTTACTGGAATTGCACAAGTGGCATCCATGGGAACACCACAGCCAGAGATCCCTGGTGACAGCAGAGCCAAATGCTGTTGCACTAGGACGTGCCACCCCCGTCCCCAGCAGCTCTAAAACAACCTCAGCTGTGGGTTGGGGCAGTTTCCCTGCCCATCGTCCTGGTGGGCCTCGAGCAAGCCCAAGAGACAGCAGCCTCTGTGCCTGCCCAGGCTTAGCTGATCCTCTGCTTTCTCTGGGCTGCCCTCCCCAGGGCGGCTGATCACATTAAGGATCCCACGTTAGGCGTGGGGATCGCCAGCTAGCCAAGCTGCTATGGACCCTTTCCGCCTGCCGACTTGCTTTCTGGCCGAAGGTTCGGCTCAGTAACTGGTTTTCCTCTCTGGTTTGCAGGATTTAGCCTCCGAGCGACTGAATGGCAGAGGTAATGCCCACAGGAGCTGGGGGTGTGGGTGCTGCCAGGCTGGGCCTGGCGATGCGGGGCCATGCTCCTCTGTGTCACAGGTCCCAGCACAAGACGCAAAGCCTCCACGGCTCTGGAGTCCTTCAAGCGGATTGGCATCCCCATCCTGGCAGCAGTGTTCAGCCTCGCCTGCCTGGTTATGGTCGGGTTCTTGAGTATGGCTCCTGCCCTTCTCTCCCCCTTCCTCCTGCCACTGCTGGGCACAGCCGCAGCTTGGCAAACACAGCTCTGGACGCAGGGCTCAGCCGGGACTGGCTCTGCCACCTTCTTGCTGAGCCCCCAAAGGCAAGCCCTGAGCCTGCCCAGCAGCACGAGCTCAGCACTAAGCTCCCCCTTTCCCTCTAGTCAAGGTTTACCTGGACTACCACTACTTCTTCTGCAAACAGCCCCTGAAGCTGGTGCTGCTGCGGCAGGTGTGTGATGGGCAAATGGACTGTCTGCAGGGCGAGGACGAGGCCAGCTGTCCCCAGTGGGTCCCTGAGGGGCCACCAGCTGGGGGTGAGTCCAGGACACCCTGCCAGCGCTCTGGAGGGGCCGGGCTGCTGCAGCAAGCCTCCACCTGCTGAAGTCACCTGCAACAAAGCTGACTCTGTGTCTTTCTCCAGCCCGTGTTTCCAAAGACAGATCCATCCTGCAGGTGCTTAACAGAAACACTGGAGCCTGGTCCTGCATCTGCCACGACCACTTCAACCTGGTGCTGGCAAAAGCAGCCTGTGAGCAAATGGGCTATAGGAGGTACAAGGCTGCTTTCTCCACACCTCTCTTGCCCATTTTATCTATCCCTCTCCCACAAAACCTCTTTTTGAGTGGGGCTCTTTACTTACAAAGCACTCAAAGCTCTCCACTAATGGTTTTGGTCCATCCCCGCCATGCAGAGCCCTCTGTGCATCCCTAGGAGTCAGCTAGTCTCTGTGCTAGAAGCCCTGGCAGCTTCTCACATAAGCACAGTACCGTGCCCAGCATCCTCTGCTCCGTCCCCAGCCCACGGGCACCCTGCCTGGCTCCTACCCCTCACCTCACCCCCACCTACTCACAGGCACCCATGCAGCAGGGCTGCCCTGCAGCTCACAACAGCATGCACTCTCCTCACCAGAGCACTGCACTCCCCCTTCAAAGGCCCAGGAGAGCAGCAGTTGGGTGGGTGGTGTGGGTGCTGGGTGGGGGGTGTGGGTGCTGCACAGCTATGGCCAGGGCTGGGTCCTTGCAGCTGGGATGAAGCTCCATGTCACCCACCTGTGTCCACCTCGTGCACTGCCCTGAGCTAGCAAGTTTGTAGTGCTGCATTCAGCTACAGCTGGTTAAAGCTGAGATTTGGGGAAATAGCGTGCTAGCCCTGTGTGTTTGGTGTCAGCCCTGGGTTAAGGGAGAGCTTGAGTTAAGTTAGGGGTATACTAGGGAGAAGATGGGTTCTGGTGTTTGAGCCCCTCTAGGACCCTAGAGTGAGCCCAAGATGGTATTTCCAGTTCCAAAAAATCAGGGACAGATGCTTTGAGTCCCAGGCCACGAATATCACAAGAGGTAACCGCAGGGACACCCCTGAGGTCCCCCGGGAGCTACGTGCCCCATGCCTCCCCGAACAACAGGGAGTAGCTTCCCTTCCTTCAATATGCTCCTGTCCCTCGTCCTGGGCTCAGCGGCCAGTCCCCCCTTCCTGCACCCAACCCTCAGGGCTGTGGCGCTTCTGGCATCCCTGTGTCCCTGCCCCACGGAACCCCCTTTTTCCTATGGGGTCTTTCTCTTGCTCACTGGTGCAGGGTTGACGTTCCCTTCCTAAACTCCTGCTTCCTCCCCATCTCAGCAGCTCTTTGTCGGGGCTGCAGGCAAACATTTAAGACCTACTCATAAAGCTTCAGTCCCTCAAGTTTTGGAACCGGGTTATACCATCCTTGGCTCAGTCTGAGCCAGAACCGCCGAGTTTCCTGGCTTCTGGAGATGCTCGGGCACCAATGCCTGTCCTCTCCCAGCACCCGTGCCCCACTGGTAGCATGCCTGAGACTTGCTGACCTGTGTCAGCCCATGTCTTTCAGCACCCCCACTTTCTGGCCAGTGGAGGCAGACGCAGGGCAGCCCCTGCCTCCCCGTGAACTCATGCTGAGCAACGGCAGCCTCCAGATGCCTGACCCAGGCAGGTGAGCAGTGGGGCCCGTGCAGAGGCGGCTGCCGTGCCCCTCGCCCTGAGTGGGCGCCTGCTGTGCCTGGCTCCAGAGCCAGAGCCTCTCCTCTGCCAAATCCAGCCCTTTTCCTCCCTCTTCCAGGAAATGCTTCTCTGGATTGGTTGTTTCGCTCTTTTGTTCCAGTAAGTATCGAGGTGCTGTTTGCACCTTGCAGGCCTCATGCCGCTCCAGGTCCTCATTCCTGGCACGGCCCCATGTGCTGCTGCGCTGCGGCTGCAAGAGCTCAGCTCCGGCCCAAGCCCTGGCCCTCCCTGGTTCCCGCACTGTTTGCATGAGAAAAGTTGGACTTAATTAGTACTAGCCTTATTCCTAAGCCAGTATAAACCTCCCAGAAATGAAACACCTACAAGAGGCTTAACCAGCTGCCTGGATGGGTTTACTTTTACTGATGAATTACCCTGATTAAACTAATCTGCTTGGTGGGCTGGAGAAGGCAAGGAATGGACAAACCAATTTCAGCAAGCCTGGATGATGCGCGAACAGAGAACAAAAGGGGGGTGTGCCAAGTGTCCCAGAAAGGGGTGACCCAGGCAGTGTCACGGGGTGAGGGGGAGGCACCTGGGCCACACTCCCTTCCCTGGGAGGCGCAGGACCCTCCGTCCCCGCTCACCCCCAAGGATGGAGGAGGGCAGAGCGGGTGCTCTTTCTCTCCCACCGCCACAGCTAACGTGTTGCTTTGTCGCTGCTCCGCCATCGCTGCCGGGCAAAAGACTGCGGGGAGAGCATCAGGACTCCGCGTGTGCTGGGCGGGAGTCCGGCCGCCATCGAGGCTTGGCCGTGGCAGGTCAGCTTGCAGTACAGGAAGGAGCACATCTGCGGGGGCAGCATCATCGACCCCAGCTGGATCCTAACGGCAGCGCACTGCTTCAAGTGAGTTGGCGACCTCCCCGCTGCGGCACACTGGTCAGCCGGCACCGACGTGTCAGGGCTGGGCCGACTCCTCGAGGCCAGGCTGGGTCCCTCGGGGTTTAAGCTACGTGTTGCTTAAGTGTCCCGTAATTAACACATCTGTGCAGGGCTTTGCGCAGGTCTTTGTGCCCCTTGGGCCAACACAGCTGACTGATGCTGAGCGGGGCAGCGTGCAGGCAGGGCTTTGCTGCCTGTCCCCACAGCAGGCTCATGGAGAGGAAAGAAGGGAGCAGTAAGAGGCATGTCTGTGCACAGGAACAACCCCGTCATTCAGAGTTGGCACGTGAAGGCTGGCTCCGACCTCCTCTCGGGCACCGTCACCCTCCCTGTGGAGAAGGTCTTCCTGGCTGAGGTGACACCTGCGTCTCCCAAGGACAATGACATTGCCCTGGTGAAGCTGCAGTCTCCCCTGCATGTCTCAGGTGAGACGTGGCACACACCTCACAGCAAGAGTCCCAAGTGTCTTCTGACGGCAACGAGAAGCGGGCTAGGAGGGCGATGCCCCCTGTGTGGCAGTGCTCAGTGGGCACCGAGCAGCAGCGTGGAGCGGGCTGCGTGCAAGCGGTGCCTTACGAAGAGTGCAGCGGGGAGCTGGGTGCCCGGCCGGCTCGTGGGCCCAGCCAGTCCGGGCACGGGCACCTTCCCTGCAAACCTCCCCAGACATCTCCTGCACCTCACCTCTCCCAGACAGCAGCAAGCCCATCTGCCTGCCCTATTTCGATGAGGAGCTGGTGCCGGGCACGTCCCTGTGGGTGATAGGCTGGGGCTACACGCAGGAGCACGGTGAGCGGGACAGCGTGGAGGCGAGCAGGAGGAGCCGGGCTGGTGCAGTCCCTGCTCGCCCGGGGCTGCTGGGGGCGCCCCTCTGAGCGGCCACGTTTGGCGCAGGCAAACTGTCGGAGACCCTGCAGCAGGCGGAGGTGGAACTCATAGATGCAGAGAGCTGCAACCTGGTCGCCTACCACGGGGAGGTCACCGAGAAGATGCTATGTGCCGGCTTGCCCCAAGGCGGGGTGGACACCTGCCAGGTGGGGGGTGCCGGGTCCAGAAAGAGGCGGTGGGTTGGTCTGCAGCTATCGATGAAACAGCCCTTTTCAGGGAAGAGCTGTGCTCCCGGGAAACGGCTGCGAGCCGCAGCTGTGACCACCGGTGCCCGCCATGCTGGGGACTGGGGGGGTCCTCAGCACCCACTCAGCCGGTTTGTTCTTCATAGGGGGACAGCGGCGGGCCCCTGCTGTACTCAGGCAGGCACTGGCAGGTGGTGGGCATCGTCAGCTGGGGCCAGGGCTGCGGGACCCCCAGCACGCCCGGCGTCTACACCAGCGTCCGTGCCTACCTCAACTGGATCTACACCGTCTGGAGGGTCAGTGCCGTACTGCCGACACCGCTGCAGCGACACCCATGGCTGCTCTGTCGCGCAGGTTTTGGGGGGCGGTGGGGAAGGGCCAGGGCCCCCTTGGCAGTTCTGCACAGTGGGGAACCGCACTGTCGCTGCAGGACAGGCTGGGGGCAACCAGCCCCCTTCAGCTCTGTGCGGGAGCCCAGCCAGCTCCTTAAGGATGCGACTCCGTTTGTCTCCTGGTTGCCGCTGCCCTTCAAAGCTTGCAGTTTCTTCTCTCCCTCCCTCTCTCCTTCCAGTCAGAGCTCTGAGACCAGCCGGGACAGGTCCCTCCTCTCTCCCCAAGCCTCCCTCCCCATGCACTTGGCTGTCTTGGCTCCAGCGGTAGCTGGGAAATGGATCTCCAGCCACGGAAGGTGAGCGGTGCCTCCTGAACCCTCGCTGGCAGGCTGTGATTTAGCACACCAGAGGCCAGCTAAGGAGGCAAAGGGCAGCTCGGAACAACGGCCACCGATACCACAAAGGAATCTGACCGGCTCAAGCTCCCTTCCGGAGAAAGATTAATTTATTGCTCTGTGCTGACCCTGCTGTGGCAGGAAGGCTCCTGTGGGGCTAAGTTGCTGTTTGCTCACTACCGTTACACAGAGGGGAAAGGACGTTTGTGCCATAGAGTATCCCCATTAAAAGAAAGTATTTGTTTTTTCAGGCAGCCTCTGAAGGCTTTGTCCCTCTTGCTTGCAGGGGTTATTTTTCGCAATACCTTGTGCTGTGCCGGAGCTGCTTTCCCAGCGCAAAGCAGGGGTTATTTGCTGGCTCTTGTGAACAAGCTGTTCCTGCACACAAGGAAGAAAGGGCTGCGTGGACCTTGGCCACTCAGTCGGACAAGCTGAGCGGAATGCAGTCAGTTTAAATTGTTGTAAACAAACAGGGACGTTAGGCATGCTTTTAAATCAACTTCTTCTAGCGTAGCTTCAGCCCCAGTAGACATCGGGGCCATTCCCGTGCAACGTGGCAGGGAGAGATCCTGCTTTTCAGGTGCTCAGAGCACCTTTTGCACTGGGAAATACCCCCAAGCACCCTGCAAATGTTGTCCCTCCAAAAGTAGCACCACAGCCCCCGTCCTGTCCTGCACCCCACGCCAGGCTGGCTCCCCAGCTCCAGGCACCCACAGCCCCTGGGCTTGAGTGGGCAGCACTCACCCATGGGTGCTGGGAAGCAGCACCCAGCCCTTGCCCCAGCGTGTCTAGGATGCAGCCAGCACAGTGGCAGTTATCCACCTGGGACAAGCAGTTGCAGAGAACGGACACAGCCCATGCTCGGCACACAAGGGAAATGCTGCTGCTCTTTGCCTCAGTGCAGGGCTTGCAATGCAGCATGCATGCCTGGGGGTTCATGATAAGGCTAGGCAGGCACCCACAGCAACCCAAACCAGAGCAAGTTTCTCTAGTAAACATAAACTTTATTTCATTCAAGGCAAAGCTAACTAGACCTCTACAGTGCAAAAATGTGCTGTAAGTCATCACACAGCATGTTGTACACATCCTGTGTTTATTTGCAGGTATCTCCTACATGTGTTTATATATGCTTATACACATACGGGTCGGTCGCAGCACACACCTCTGGCAGGCCCTTCTCCCCCGCATGCCCCGGAAAGCCTCTGCAGACCCCCCAAAGCCCTTGGGACAGCAGGGGCCCCGCAGGAGCTGGCACAAGCCCCCAGGCCAGCCCGCTCCCCTGGAGCCCCCTGCGTGTCCGTACAGCACCCACACACATATGCGTATAGAGTTACATTTCAAAAACTGGTTATGTTGACTTTTCCCATCAAGCCAGATGAGTAATCCATGCATAGTACAGCATTGCATATCCTGTGGTAGGTGGAACTGTGTCCAGATACCGTCTAAAAAAGGCCAACAGGTTAGGACAGCTAAAAATAGTTCTTTAAAAAAATCCCTTCCTCCCTTCACTGTCCTCTCCCATGGAAGTTCTCCTCCAAGCATGGGCTGGGGGGTCTCTTGGGGCAACTGGGAGGTGTCACGCCTTCCTGCCCAGACTGTCATGCGTAACAATGGTTCGGTAACAATACTTTGCATTTACGGAGTGCCTTTTGCCCCAGGGTCTTGGAGCACTTTGCAAAGCGATGCAGGGAGACTCACACCTCCTGTGAGGTAGGTCCGATTTACTGTCCCCGTTCTACAGATGGGGAAACTGAAGCGCAGACAAGTCAAGTGATTTGCCTGAGGGTCCCATGGATCCTCAGAGAGAGGACCAGGATCCCGGGGACCTGACTCCCACTTGCCCATCTAACTGGCCGCTAAGGAAACCTGCCTGGGGCCAGGTGCCTGTACCTGTCCCCTGTCCCAGACGCACGGCCCGGGCAAAGGCTGGAAGGTGCTCTCTGTACCACCGCCCCCATGAGCCGGCAGGTGGGCTCTGACCTCTGCCACAGAAGTCTTGGCAGAAGATAGTGCCTGACCTTTCCTTGTTCACCTTGCCCACCAACTCTTTGCCTACCTTCCACTCCAGCACCTCTGTCGGGGCACAAGCCCCTGCAGCCAGGGAAGTCAGGGCTCAGCTTCGATTCCCGATTTTGAGTGGGGGCAGGGGAGCTGCCTGTCCTGCAGCTTCACTGACAGACACCCACAAATAAAGGAGGACTAGGGAACAAATCACACTCGAGTTCAGTTGTAGGATCAGCTCGTTCCCTTCATGTCTCACATCCTGCTACAGCCCTTGGGAAGGGGGCTGGGTTGCCCAAATCCCCACTGCAGTTACCCTTCGCAAAGACCCTCTGACTTTCTATGGCACCCCTCATCCAAGGATCTCGAAGCACTTTGCAAATGTTAGCCAAGGAAGCCTCACAACAACCCCTGTGAGGTAGAGCAGTATTACAGATGGGGAAACTGAGGCATGGAGGGGCAGAGCGACTTGCCCAAGGTCACCCAGCAGCTGGTGGCAGGCCTGGGAGTGGGCTGGCGCAGCCCTAGCCCAGCTCCCCTCCCCAGGGCTCGACCATGCTCCCTCCCTGCATTGCAGATGGAGTGCCACAGTTTTCCTCAGGTGAAAGGGAAATGCAATCAGCCATTTTCCCACTGGAGTCTAATATAAAAAATATCCGCCTAACGAGTTAAGCCTTGGCGAGTCAGCATCAAAAGCATTGCTGCTCTGAGTGATGAGCTTTAAAAAGAGGGGAGGAGGAGCAGGAGCAGCAGCAGCACAAACCCAGGGAGTGCCTCCCAAGAAGGCTGGCTGGGGGAGAAGCCCCCCCCGCTGCCGCCGGTGGGGGTGGCCCTGCACAGGGGCAAAGCGAGCGTGAAACATGGAGTTTCACGCTGCCGCAGGCCAGCGGTGACCCCAGGACACGGCCAGCCCCAGTTGCTGGTCCCCCCAGCCCTTGGAGGAACAGAGGCACCTCGGGGCCAGGAGCATGGCTGGGAAGAGATGACAGCCCCAACAGCAATGGGTCTTCCACCGATTTGGTTCTTGAGTGTGCTTAACAAGAGAGCTGAAGCAGGAGCCTCCATCTCTACGGCGAGTTCCGTGCACCCTCACTCTGCTCCAGATACCTGCTGCGCGATGCAAGCAGCTCCTGCCCACCCCAGCTCAGCATCGCCGCAGTCAGACGAGCCGCCCCAAGCTCCTCGCAGCCTCTACCAACCTCAGGTACGCCAGGACCCCCAGCCGCCCACCAGCCCTGGGAGCACAGTGCACCCAGCTGCAGACCAGGGCACTCCCCAGCACCCGGCCCCTTCACTGCCTGCCTGGCACCCTCTTGCCTTCCCTCAGAGCGGAGCAGGTGGCTCTCCCTCACCCAGGCACGTCCCAGTCAGAGTCTGCAAGAAGCTCCCAGTCCCGCTGCAGCTGAAGTCTTTTTCTGAGAAGCAGTGCAGGTTGCAGGCACGTGTGTAATAGAAACATGTCTCAAGCGTTGGCAGTTTGGAAAGAAAACAAAAGGGAAAGGCTTGTCCCCCTGCCCAGCCTCCCCGCTGCTGGGCGGGCCGGGGCTCGGGGCGCTGCTACTTCATGCCTTTGGTGGTGCTTTTTGTTCCGCCTTGGAGCCGGCCAAGCCGTTCTCGGTGTTGTCGTTCCCTGATGAGCTCACGAGACACTCCTTCCTGGGGGAGAGCACATGGCCAGCTGACAGCCCCCAGCCCCCCCCCGGCCCCTCTCTACACGACCCCGGCCCCGGGCAGCCCCACCCCAGGGCAGCGCCCGCCGAAAGGTGCCGGGACCAGCACCTGCACTCACTTCCCATCCTGGGTCTTCTTGATGATGAACAGGACAACCCTCTTGACAAGCATGAAGAGGATGAGGAGGCCGATGAGCCCCCCAACAACGCCCACGATGATGAGTGTCACAGTGTTGTCTGCCTCCACCACTGCAGGAGAGAAGGTGCTGAGGGGTCTCAGGAGGGGAGCAGGGAGCTCCCAGCTGCACAGCCCCCCCAGCAAAGCAGCAAGCCCCTCCACCAGCTGCCAGCCCACGGCACAGAGGGCCACGAGGCCAAGCCTTGCCCTTCAGGGATGCCAACCACCTCCAAGAAGCCAGGACACCCAATGAAGCATCACAACTGTGAGCTGAGGTGGGGTCAGTGCGGGTTTGCATCCCCACCGCCCCAGTGCCGCTTGCGGGGCAAGGGAGCCCTGGCCGGCACTTACTCTTCTGGACCACTGTGAGGAAGATGGTGGCATTGTGCTGCGCATCCTTCTCCTTGGGGTTCTTGACATGGCAGGTGTATTTGCCAGCATCACTGAACTCCACGCTCTTCAGGACGATGGAGATGTTGTTGTCCTTCCCAGTCGTCGAGCCAACAAACTCCACCCGGGGGTTGCGTCCAACAAGGAAGGGCTCCGAGGCTTTGCTCTTTATCTTGCCGTGGTAAATCTGCAGAGGCAGGGATGTGGGACATGGGGTCAGCTGGGCTCCCAAAAACCCCAGGGGAGGGAAAGACTCAAGTTCTCCTGCCTGTGCCCTGCCCTACCTCTGCACGCATAGACATGCACAGCCAAGGGTCCTGGCACAGCCCGCTACAGCAGGAACAGCTGTGGAGGGGGACCTGATGTGCAGCCCACCCGGGAAGCGACAGATCAATCTGACTTGCTCTGCAGTAATGTTGCAGACCACACAAAAGACGGGAGAACCCCAGGGCACGGAGAGTCCCTTTGCTCTAGGGCCATGCAGGGCTGGCCAGCCTGCGAGGATGGACCTGCTCTAAACCAGCCCTCCTGCTAAAGGAGTTGAAGAGCAGAATCTTCCCAGCAGGAAGCAAATCTATACAGAACCTTTAGCATTTCAGGGCAAGCGCAGGAGGAGAAAATTCACCATATTTTGCCCAAAGCACAGACTTGCGCCTGACCACCCAGTTTATGGCCAATTTATGAACAGAAACGAGCCTGCAGGCAGCAGAAAATCCAGAATAGCCTTGTGCCAAAAGCACAGATGTGCCAGGATATTTGAGTCACCCTGTTTGCACAGCCCTGTCCCCCCAGAGCTGGAGACACTCAGAGGGACGGGCATCCTGCAAGAGGAGAAAGGGAACTCTGTGCGAACTGCAGTGCTGGTCTGCACTGGGAAAGTAGAAAAGGACCTGCCAGGAAAAGAGAGGCAAAGCCCAGAGAGCCACCCACCATCTCCGTCGAGTTGAAATACCACGTGAAGACCAGGTCCTGAAAGCCTATGCAGGTGGTGAAGGTGCAGGGCAGCAGAACATTGGAGTTATTCAGAGCCATCACAGTGTTGGTCTTCCCCACGGACACCTCCAAGGCAAAGGCGACGGTGAAGATGTGCAAACCTGGCAGGGAGAGGGGAGGAGAGAGTAAGGACACGGCCAGGACGCAGAGAACGGTGTGGTGCGTGGGAGGGACCACTTCTCCCCCGCTGCAGCCCAGCCTCTGGCTGGAGCATCAGCCACTGTGGGGATCCCCTTCCAGGGAACATGTGGGGGGTGGCGGGGCTCAGCCCTCACCCCCCGAGGTCCTGCTCCCGGCTCTGCCAGGGACCCACAGCATCCTCCTCCCCGCAGCCTCAGCACGGGGGCATGAGCCCAGCTCTCCTCCCCTCCCAGAGCCCAGGGATGGGTTTGTTACCCCTCATCCCCTTCGGCACAGCAGGCTGCCGTGGCAGGAGCAAACGCACCTGTTCCCGGCCAGCTCGGCAGAGATAGGGGACGTGCTCCCACAGGAACGGCGGGGCCTGGCTGGCACCCACAGAGGCAGCGGGGATTCAAAGGGAACCATAGCATCACCACGAATAAAGCGTGCGAATGAAAGCCCTGATTTGCATGTTATCCGCAAGGCCTTCAGCTAAACCTTAAAGGGGGGAAAAAAGAAGCCCAAAGCAAAGCAGAGCTCTCTGTTCTTCAAGCAGGGAGTCTGAGCGCTAATTAGCATTGCTATCCTGGATGCCTGACACTCGGCCCGTCCGCCACCCCAGCCAAGGGCTCTGGCAGCAAGGCAGGGCAGCAGGCTCCTTGCAGCGCCTGTGCAGACCTCCGGAGTGGCACCCCCTCATGCCTGCCTTGCAGAGAACTTCGTCTCCTGCTGTAGCTGACAGATGACCTTCAAACTGCAGAATGCAGCTCTCCCACTCCTCTCCTCCCTGTTAGCAGGGAGGAAGGCATGGAGGAGAAGGTACGAGTCCAGCCGCAAGAGCCGAGAGCACGCCTGAAACCTCCTGGGGTGCCATGCAGGGGACTGGCACTTCACCCCTGGGCACCGGGCTGGGCCAGCCATGTCCACAGGAACCCTTGCCAGGGGGCACAGGGATGCTTTGCTCCGGGCCAGGGGAGCAGCCGTGTTCCCCTTCCCTATCCCCATCCCACTGGGGCCCGGTCCCACTTGTGTGATGTGCTATGGCCAAGATGCGAGAGAATGCACCAAAGCCTTGTCCTCCCCGTTCCCAGACCTCAGCCACCAAAGGGACCCTGCCATCCCTACAAAGCTTTCCCTGGGCACTCGGACAACCAAAATACAGGGGACGCAGCCCTTCCCACAGCTGCAAGCTGCTCCCCAGCTCCACCGACACCTTAACTCAGATACACTGCCCTCAGCTTCAAATTTGCGTCTCTCTGCAGCCACTTCAGCTGCTGATTTATTCTCCCACACACGCCCGTGCTAACAACTCTGCAGGCACGTCGCAGCCTGAGCCAAGCCCGAGAGCCCTGCATCCTGGGCTTCAGGCCCTGCTGCAGTGCTGCATTGCAAGCACTGCAGGGAAGGAGTTACTTAACTTTACAAAGAAGGACTTTTCATTTTGCTTGAGAGGCTTTAGCTAACGTCAGGGAGTGGCTCCCACCAGATGGAGGTCTCCTGCAGTTGTGAGGCTCAAAGACCAGCCCTGGGGATGCTACAGAGGGGACTTCACATCCGGGAGCATCCCAGGGGAATCGCGCTGCTCCCTGGAGTAAGACTTTGCAGACGGATGCCTGTGTCTGCAGGTATGCCCGAGTAGGCGGGGTGCTGCAAGAGGACAGTTACTTGCAGGAAAGATGATTCCATGCAGCTTGTAACACTTTTAATCCTGTCTGCCACTGTTATAACGTCATGAACATAACCTGAATTGAATGTGTGGGGTAAACGGAGGCTGATCTTGTTCCTGTCATGCTGTGGTCTCAGGAAGACAGAATTGATACGCTACTGCTAAATAAAGCGCAGTGGAAAACACGTTGGGAGGCTGGGAGATTACTGACTCAACCTGCCATGCCAGCTGCCACCGTTACTTTTCCATGTGCCCGAAGCTGCTGCACTTTGCACCACCAGAGCCCCAACCTTCAGTGTGCAGGTCAAGCCCTGTCGAGGGCTCTAGGCTAACTGTCATGCACGCAGGCACAAGCTTTCCTCAGGAGACAGGGAAGGGGAACCAGGGAGCAGCTGCTCCTGCTGTTGTCAGAGTCCTGGCTGCCTGCTCTTGCTCTTGCTCAGGCAGAGTCCCTGGGGCAAGCCCCTCCGTGATGAGGGGTCCCAGAGCCACTGAGCTATGTGCAGCGGTGCTGGGTGCGCAGCCCAGGACCCAGCCCCAGTGACAGCAGCGATAGCCCTCCAACCCAGGCCAGGGCCCAGAGCAAGACTTTCCCCCCATGTGCTGCTGGCAGCCTGCCGCTTTTCCCGCGGCCAGTCAGGAACCCGGTCTGGAAACCACTGCCCTAATGGAAAGGGCACATGGGATTCACCTGAAAAGGCATGGGACACCTCCACCATCTGTGAGAAAGCTTGTATTGCCCATAAAAATCAACACGACCTCCCGGCACAGACAGCAAGCCATGCCCGGTGGGCTGGGCAGGCTCCCCTCAGCCAGCCCAAGCTCAGGCACAGTGTGCTCCGGGACAGGACCCATGGGCCTCATCCCTCCTGCGGGCACCAACGAAAGACACCATGGTGTTGCTCCCCGGCGCAGCCAGGAGCCCACTGCCACTCCCTGGAGAGCACGGCATCCCCGAAACACAGACACAGAGAGCCCTGCCCAGATGCTCTCCCCTTCCCACCTCCCCCTCCAGGCTCCCAGCCCACCTGGGCGACCTGCGGGACAAGGTTCCCACCTGCCCGCCCTGGACCCCAGCCCCCCGCATGCCCTGGGCTCCAGCACCTTGGACTCTCTCCGATCACCCTGCTGCCAGCCCCATGCCGAAAGCAGCTTGTGCTGCATCTGTCCAAGGCGGCACTTTCCACCAGGTACCAGCAGCCGAATCCTGCAGGGAGTCAGGTACTTACATGTCTTCTCGTCTCTCCAGCTCGCTTAAAAGAAACTTATGGACTATGCCCTCTGAAATGCCTCTCGAGGCAGTTTCCCAACAGCAAGCGCTGCCAACCAAGGCAGCCCGTGGTCTCGGGCTCTCTGTGCCCCTGGACACAAGGATGACCTACACGAGCAGAAGTGCAGCTGGTGCGTGAGGGCAGATGCAGGCAGCTTGGAACCAGCCCAGGGGGCTGCAGCGCAGAGGGGACGGCTGCAAACTCCTTCCTCCACCCTGCAGCTGGGGAACTCGGGCATCCCCGCACACAGGTCTGCACGTCACGTTCCAAGCAGTGGCCCTGCGGTACGGGTTCAGGGAGAAGCGCATGCAACCGGCTGGTTTACAAAACCGAACTGTAAAAAGAATGACCTGTCGGCAGGCGTGCTGGCGGCCCCGTTGAAGCAGTGCATGGCTTCCCTACGGCTATTCCCCCGGCTCCCATTAGCAGGCAGGTAGCCGCCCACCGTCCCTGCTCAGAGAGCGGCCGAGCGGAGCAGGGCAAAGCGGGATGCAGCCGCAGTGCTCGCAGGAGGAAAGCTCTGGCGATGTTAGCGACTGATGCAGGCAGGGCAGGGGGCCGGAGCCAGGACTTCGGAGTCGGCTCTCGGACTCGGCTGCGAAGTCACCTTGGACAAGTCACTTATCCTCAGTGCTTCGGGCTCTCCGTCTGCAGAGCAGAGAGAACCGCGTTAGCGCCTGCGGACGGCAGATTCAGCTGAGCGGCGGCGGCAGCGTCCGACTCCTTTGCGGTGCGGGAGGGGGCCAGATGCAAAGCAGCCGAGCGCGAAGCGAGGGTCACCCCGCCTCGGGAGGACGAGGACGAGGGGGGAAGCCCACAGTGCCCCCGCCCCGGGCTGCCGGAGGAGCCCGCGGGGTCCCCAGGGAGCACCCGCGGACGGGGGGCTCTCCTCTCCCGGGGTGGGGCCGGGGTGTGTGTAGGGGGGGCGGCAGGACGCCGGCGGTACCCGGGGAGGAGCGGGTCCCCGGTTCGCCCCCCCCCCCCGCGCCCCTTACCCAGGAGCGCTGGCAGCAGGCGCGGCGCGGCGCGGCGGCGGGCGGCGGGCGA